TGTTAGCTGGGCACATGGCTGCCTGGCTAGGGATGATAGCTCCCAGCCTCCATTGCAGCTAGACACAGTCAAGTGTGAGCAGAAGTGATCTGTGCCTCTTTGGGGTCTCGGCTTAAAAGGATTGGGCTCCCCTTTCTCACTGGGGCAGAGTGACAGTCAGGGCACGCGGCCGGGCCCCAGAGAGGAAAGCCGCACATTCAGCAGGCACCGTCAACCTGACCTCTGCACTTTCTGTGCAAGAGAAATGAACCTCTGAAGCACCTGTCTTACAAGAGGTCCCCTCTTGTAGAGGTTTCCTGTACCAACATAAACTTGTGCTTTAATTCCATTTTTCCATGAATTATTGAAGTCCCCTCATGTAAGCTGTTATTTTGGTCTCCCTGTCTATAGTCTAACTGCTGCAATGCTCCAGCTGGCTGGACTACCCAACCCCCTGAGAAAAGCAAACCAAAAAACACTCATAGCACATGGAGATTCCTAGACAGATACAGATCCCATCAGGGAGGTGGGCGTGAGGGAGGAGCGTAGGACAAACACACGCAGTTGGCCACCCGCAGTCGCGAGGTTGTAGTTGCATAGACTCAACGTGCTGTATTAACAAGCAGGAGCAGGCCGGCTGATGCAGAGGTGGTGAAGACAGCTGGATCCCATCCGGACACAGTGGCTTGTAAAACATGCCGGGCACATGTGCGTACATGCCCCAAATCCCAGATGGAGAAATGGAGAAAAGGGGATTGTGGCCTGATTGTCCCCCCACTGGAGGGGTGCTTTCTCACTTTCCTCCTCTGTCTCTCCCCAGTGAGCATGCACACACATCCTGGCAAATTAGGGAGAAAAAAAAAAAAGTCAGAAGTAAGACCAAAAGCTGTGCTTGACACATAAACACACATCTCGTAGTCGTAAAAAACCCACGTGGTGTCCTACGTGGGACTCCTCAGGGAAACCTGAAGCCCTCCGTTTGTAGCCGGCACCAGAGCACCTTCGGTCCCCTGGCCCCGCCTTCCCAGCACAGGCCTTCTCTGAGGTCCTGGCAGCAGGGAAGAGTGCTCTGGAAGGCCTCGCACCGACTCAGAACTTGCGTCTTAAACGATGTACATCGCTTCCATTCATGGCCCAAGGGCCAGAGCTGCCCACTCAGCGTTGCCTAACTCCCGGGAGACAGACACGTATCCTCCCATGCTTACAGGAGAGCACAGCTGGATATGGAGGGGCATGGAGGTCCCCCACAAAGGCCTCTCTAGTACCCAGGAAGCATGCTCAGTTCGGGGGCCAAGTGCTCCACGTCAGGGCAG